CATAAACAAAAAGTGATGCTATGATCCTTCCCACCGAATGAGCAACATGTCAAGATGATGAAGAAAAAAGAGAAAAAAGAGGGTGAATGCGATACATAAACTCCGATACATCAAGCACTGTTACTTCCGCCTTTTCTTGTCCTTTTCTCCCTTTCTAAGTTTCTACGCAATTAGGACCTACCTACAGTGAATTGGCAGCTCTGAATGAGTACATATCTTCTTGGCGAGTTGGTGAAACTCCGACGGAACGATGTCCCTTTCTGCCTACGGTTTGCTGGGCAGTTTTCAAATTTGGAGAGAGAGAGAGAGAGAGAGAGAGAGAGAGGGGGGTGTATAACCTGTCTCACCTTGTCAGGTGAGGTGCTGTTTATCCCAGGAATCACAATTTGGTAGTCCTATTCCTTGGCTCTTGGCAGGTTGCAATTCTGAGGGCAATGTGTGGAGTGGATGTTCTTCTTTCTGGCGTATGCCCAACCGTTTGGCACTTTCCTGCTTGCTGCTGAGATGTGGTGATGTGCAAATGTGCAGGAAGGAGCAATGATAAGACTGGACATGAGCGAGTACATGGAGAGGCATACGGTTAGCAAGCTTGTGGGATCTCCTCCGGGATACGTTGGCTATGGAGAGGGTGGGCTTCTGACCGAGGCAGTACGTCGACGACCATTCACCGTTGTCCTTCTTGATGAGATTGAGAAAGCTCATCCTGATGTATTCAACCTCTTGCTCCAGATCTTTGAAGATGGAAGGCTAACAGATTCACAGGTACGTACTATACTCCAACTCCTGAGCCTCGAAAATCTGAGCGCAAACAAGAACCGCAGATCCCACTTGCTGGGTCCCACTCGTTGATTGTGGAGTTTTTACGCTTACAGGGGTGGGTGGGTGGGTGGCTGGAGGGAAAAGGTTGGGGGGGGGGGGGGGGGGGGGGGGGGATGTGGAGGGGAGGGGGTTTCGTTCACCTGTAGAGAGAAAAGCGCATCGTAGCCACAAACAGGGAGGGAGGGTAAATGGCATGGCAACTGGCCGGACGTCTGGATGACCGTAATCCGGACGGTCCGGTTGTCTGGGTATGGGTCCGGTGCCTGGGCCGGTAGGTAAGGATTGGGCCCAATTTTGAAAAAATTGAATTTTTTTGGGGGGGGGGCCTGGGACATTTTTCGGGTCCTAGGCCACCCCCCAGAAGTGCCCCCGTTATTTTTTGGCTGTTTCAGGGCCCCTACTGAACGCCGCCAGACGCTTCCAACAGCTCCCTCTGCTGTTGTTCTACACTGGTAGTTCATCGGATGAGGATGCGTCTGATTCCAAAAATGAAGCGCTGGCTGCAAAGCGCCACAGAACATTAAGCGAGCGAGCGAGAGCGAGAGCGCGCGCGCACGAGAGAGAGAGAGAGAGAGAGAGAGAGAGAGAGAGAGAGAGAGAGAGAGAGAGAGAGAGAGAGAGAGAGATGTTTCGGTCAGATCTGAGATCCCGTCTTAGATCTGGACCAGATCTCGGATCTGTTCTTAGTACTTCTTACGTAGATCTGAATAAGTTAACAGTTCAAATTTTCAATTTTCATATGAATATGAATTAGAAAGTCTAACTTCGAAGTTCGAAGTTCTGTTTTTCTCTGATTTTCGTTCTCTTTTCTGAAGTGACTTGGGATTGGTCTGTTGGGAACTGGTTTCAACTTTCTAGTGTTGTGTGAGCCTTTGTGAATGTCTCTGACTCTGTGACAGTATGAAGCTGTCAAGTTGTGAATAGTGAAAGACAGTAAGCTGTGTTTAGTACTGTTTACTACTRATGTTTTTTTTTTTTTTTTTTTTTTTTTTTTTTTTTTTTTTTTTTTTCGGCCCGGGCTTTTTTTTTTTTGTGTCTGGTGTACCGGTCCGGACTGTCCGGGTCCGGTCCTGTCTGGTTGTCCGGTTCCTGTCCGGATTACCGGACGTCTGGACCAGTCCCGACAAATGTCTGGGCCGCGGTCCAGACATGTGCGGGTCCGGGTCCGGGTCGGCGGTTGACATGGTAAATGGGGTAAATGGGATAAGTGGATATAACAGGAGCAGGAGGTAGCGGTGGAGTGTTTCGGTGGTGGTGGTGGTGGTGGGGGGGGGATGGAAGGGGGTGTTAGCTTTGGTTCCCTCCTTCCTGTTGTCAACGGGGATTTTCCCTAATGACACCAAAGTCAAGAACAGGAATGGGCCCAGTTCGTACACCCATAACTGTTGAAATATGAATCAGACCCAAGTTCGATTCCAGACGCAGTCAGATGAACAAAAATAAAGTAATTGACTGTAATTGAAGTAATTCTGAATTTACTGGGTCCGGTCAGTTGAATGATGATATCTCAAGACTGTCGGCCTTTTCAAAACACAAAAAAAACAAAAGGAATGGGTTTGAGATACCATTCCTCCACTGTATGCAATGCACAGTCTGCCCGAACACAACACACCCTCGTCGCGACTGTGATTTTTCAGACGGGGAAGAGAGCGAGCTTTGTGTATGTGCGGCGACCTTTATAACATACAATTGTTTTTTAATTTGTAACTATTGAAGGAATAGGCGTTCGGAGCATGAAGGTGTAGGACGGGGAGGGAAGTTTGGATTAGAAACAGATTTTTTTCTCGAGACTTGAGGCAGGATAAAAACAAACTGGAGAAAGCCGTAGGACCGGGGCCAACATCGCAAAACTTGTTTTTCTTGTTAAGGAGAAGGGGAAACGAAGACAACGGGGAAAAAAGACTGGTTAATTGCAACACATATTTCCGATTTTCCACGTATTGCATTGTGTAATAGTACGTCAAAGAAAAAAGATGTTCTTTAAAAAAAAAAAAAAAAAAAAGATGTTCTTCCTCTTGAAGTTCTTGCGCACGGGGGGGGGGTTAAAAAGTTCACGTGCTTCCTTCCCCCCCCAAAAAAAAAAGTTGTTCCACTGGAGCTGTTGCGTGTTCACCCGTTCGGTCTACTAAAGTGCCCATGAAAGTGTGTAAGATGCCGTACATCACACAACTTTCCAAATTCGACTACCGTCTTCCCCCGAACATAACGCACCCTAAAAATGAATGTATACAAGCTATATTTCCGACCAGATACAGCCAAAATAATGGTGCGTTGTGTTCGGGGGAAGACGGTAGTAACGGTGTTACCAGGGTCGCCCGGCCGGCCCGGGGTACCTGGGCGACACCCAAAAGAAGTTGTTGTTGTTGTTGTTGTTTTAAACAAAAACAAAAAAGAGCTATATTCTTCACTCATATACCTCGCTCTACCTGTCTACCTCTATTCCCGAAGAAGCGGTTGTTCTATTCAGGAGCCAGCATTAAATGGACCAACTATGCCTAAGCTATCCGAAGGTTATGGGTCTATTCCTACCTATCTCTGCGCTGTGCGGGGAGCAGCACCCAAGGTCCTGAGTCCTAACACCTGGCGCGGGCTGGAAAGTGAGGACATACTTCCAGAACCAGCAAGGAGGGACTGGCTGGTTTTCTCAGTCGGGTAGTGAACCAGAAGTATGCCACACAGGGGGGTCGTGGGGAATTGGAATTGAATGGATGCCATGGAGAATCGAACCCACAACCTCCTGTGTGCCACGTGCGTGCTCAAACAACCGAGTTAGGCCGCAAAAGTTTTCTTTTTGGTTTTGGCAGTGGGGCAATTTTGCGTCCACTGAGTAGTGCCCAAATCTGGCCTTATCACGAAAGGGTGTCTATGGGGTATAAGCGGGGTTCAAAAGGGCTTGGAACGGGTTAAAGGGGTATTATAATATAATGTAGTATTTTGTTTTTATTTACTTTCCCCGGACCTGGCCCGGACCGGGCCGCGCAGGCCAATCTGAGGCAACTTAGGCGGCTTGGCTGGTAACCCAGACTGGCACCAATAAAGAAAGAAGAACAAATAAAAAGAGGAAAGAAGACAGGTTACAAAGTTGGTTTCTCAGATTTCTCTTGCTTGCAGTAGTTGTTGTCGTTCACAAACAATTGGATTGGAAAAAAAAAAAAGGAAAAAAACAAGAACACATATAAACATAGTATAAATAGGGAAAAGACTTCAAAAGAGTCGAAAAGACTCAAAAGAGACGTTTGTTGCAACACATTTCCACTTGTCGTATTTCGGCCTGATGCCAAACGAAGAAAAAATGTTTTGTCGTTTTCTTGCTTGCAGGGCCGCACAGTGTCATTCAAGAACACTCTGATCGTACTAACCTCCAACGTCGGATCAACAGCAATTGCGAAAGGGGGCAGCAATACGATAGGCTTCACATTCGAAGGCGCTGACGAGAAGGATGGCGGGCGATACAGCCGATTGAAGAGTCTTGTTATGGATGAGCTGAAGGGCTACTTCCGCCCAGAGTTGCTGAACCGTCTGGATGAGGTTGTTGTGTTCCGACCCCTGGAGCGCTCTCAGGTAAGAGATGAGCAAAAAGCACTCATCCTGTTCTGTTCTGTTCTGTTCCCACTTGGCCTTTTCCACTTGCTTGTCCTAGCCTTAATCTTATCCACTTATCTTGTCCTCCACCCATTTACTTCACCTTACTAGTCTAAGCTTATCCACTTACGCCTGGCCTTATCCACGTACTCGTCTCCTAGCCTTATCCAATTGTCTCCTGGCCTTACCCACTTGTCTCCTAGCCTTATCCACTTATGTTGCCCTTCTTATCCACTTTTACTTCGACTTAACTTGCCTAAGGATGTAGTGTTGGACTGCTCCACCTCCCCGCGGGCTGTGTCGGTTCACCTGTGATGAACTTCGGCCGTGCGATCAACGATTTTGAGACGTCGGATATGAATCTGACGCGTTTGACGCGCCGTGATACAATCTCGACCGATGATGCATGGATCTTGAGGCGTCCGATACAAAATCTGTCGCGTCTGGCGCGCCTCAGCCGGGTGCCGTTTCGTTTCTTTTTCTTTTCTTTTTTGTTTTTTTGTTTTTTTTGTTTTTCTACTTTTTTTGCGTTTCGGGCGGGAGTTTCACTGCTTTCCTTTTGCTTTCGCGCAGGCCCTCCGCGCCCGCCCTCCGCTCTCCGCACCCATGCTCCGCCCTTTCGCCTTCGGATTTCGCTCTCCGCACCCGCCCTCCGCGGTTTCGCCCTCCGCGGTTCCGCCCTTCGCCTTCGCCCTCCGCGCCCACCCTCCGCACAGCGAAAGCGCTTTCGCACCCGCCCCCCCGTGCGCACGCACACACACGCAGCCGCCCGCCTGCCCGCACGCGACCTATTTGCCACTATGTCTCTCTCTCTCTCTCTCTCATATACGGGCCTCCGCCTCGCTGCACTAAAAATATTGGCGGTGTATCTTTCCATATTCTAACACAAGATTCACTCTCGTTTTGCAGATTTCCAGAGTAGTGCAGCGAGGCCCATATATGGCAATGTATCTTTCCATGTTCAAGCGGAGGATTCAGTGTCATTTGTTCAGAGATTCTCCCAAAAAAAAAAAAAAGTTTCCAGAGATACGTTACGTGCTTACCGGATTCATCGGCCCTTCGTTCTCCACCACCCAACGTATGAATGAATCTTCCGCCAGAACATGGAAAGATACACCGCCATAGTTTTTGTCCTTTGTGCATGTCGCCCTGCTTCCGGATTCATGTTGCCCGTTGATAAGGGCGGTTTCGTTGGTCCGATAGTGTCAGCACACGGTTTCCTCTCTCTCACACGGTTTCCTCTCTCTCTCTCTCTCTCTCTCTCTCTCACACACACACACACACACACACACACACACACACACACACACAAATGTGGGGTGTATATTTCCATGTTGCAGCGGTACATTCACTCGATTTTGCTCGTCGTTTCGATGGACGTACCAGGAGGCCAGCCGCGACGTTGGAGACCTCCCTCTCTCTCTCTCTCTCTCTCTCTCTCTCTCTCTCTCTCTCTCTCTCTCTCTCCCTGCGGTGTATATTTCCCTGTTGCAGTGGTACATTCACTCAATTTTGCTCGTCGTTTCGATGGAAGTACAGGAGGCCAGCCGCGACGTTGGAGACCTCTCTCTCTCTCTCTCTCTCT